ATCTTGCCTGAAGTTGAACCCATTAGCAGTATGGGAAGAGCTGAAAACTGCATTTACTTTGTTGCATAAAAAAGTACGAACTTATTTAAATACATTTACGTACATATATAGTTACAACGTACGTTCTTTGCGAATGATAGTTTTCGAAAGCAGGGATAAAATAACCGCGTCAAGAAATCTGTTGACGGGCACACATTTGGAAAAAACTTTTATTCTTGGGAAGTACGACAAAAGAATATTTTGTTTTCGCTGAAATAATTTGTGTTAAATGTTTCTTTAAACGAGTTTAACTTCATGTAAACTTTAAACACTATTTTTCAGTAAACCTTTAGTTTTGCTACATAATGTTGTTTTATTTATTTTCAGTTCCTAGTTCCTTATTAATATTTTTTATTCGGTGTTTAGGATTCTGAGAGGATGATTAACTTATTTTTCTAAAAAAAAATTGTACATAAATAATTCAGTTCACACGGAATCAATACTTTCTTACGATACCACTTCCAAGTAAAGGTATTGACACCTGCATGTTGTCGTCTCAGCCCTAGCCCACAGAGGCACTTTTCCCATTAAAGGGTCCGTATATGACAGGTATATGCGTCAATATAAAGGACCTTAAATATAGTATATTGTATTAAAACAGAGGCTTTATTTTACCTTTCAGTGGTAGAAGGACTTACGTTGAGTGTCTCAAATCCGCAGCTCAAACCGATATGTATAATACTTGAAAAAAAAACAGAAACAATTGAACGATTTTATTTCGTGAATTTGATAAAGGAAGGGCCCCACTGAGCTATTAATAGTAATAGGCAGTTAAAAAGTAATCTTTTGGAAAACAACAATTTTTTTACAGCTTTTTTTGGCGGAAACAGGACGCGTGCTAATGTTCATAACCTTTTTTCAATGCAGTAGGTGCTGATGTAAAATTTTGTTTATAAGAGATTGCAAAACTATTCAACCAGACACTTTTTTTAACCTTTCTGGAGCTCTGTATTTAATTTCTCTGGCTCTAGCAACGCTCTATGCAGATCATAACGATTTGCTATCCATGCTATGTAGTGAAAACGTTACAGGTCTAACAACAGCACATAAGTACACAAAGCTACTACCAATCTTTTTTGTTTTGCACGCACACGCATAATTCGCATCAAATTACCAGCTCTCCCGCAAACATCATTCCAATCGGCACTACCTTACACCACAGCAGTTTCCTTTCCTTATTTTATGATTTGCGTTTAAATACAAATTTACGAGTTTGATTTATTTTTTGTTTGACCTTGTATTTTAGTTTCGCTTCATTTTTTATATTTTTTTTTGTTGGTATGACGCAGTTTATAAGGCATTGTAAGACAACAAGCACGCGCTTCTAAATGCTAACATAGACACGTGCAGCCAATGTGCTACCAAGCAAGGACAGGCACAGAACCGTTAAATATTTAATTTATGCATTTGCTGTTAGGTTTTAAATCATAAACTACAAACTGCGCGTAGAAATATAAAAAAATGCTCAAAAACAAAATAGTGTACTGTGCTCATATGCATATGCAAAAAAAAAGAATTTTCGAAATGTTTGCAAGACATGAAAATTAGCGTCATTACAAAGCACTACATACAAGTTCCTGTTTTGCTGTAATTTCACTTATGAAACTCTTTGCATCTCATGCATACATAACTAAATATTAGCATATCTTGTGCATTCTACTTAGCCTTAACCGACCATATGAAGGCTACATATATATGTATGTATATACACATTTTCGAAATTTATGTGTAAAATTACACATGTAAATTACTTAAATCTTGGATATGGTTATGATCATGCACACATACGCCAACTTTTGTATAATTTCGCAGAAATATGCGCTTGCAATACCTGAGCCACAGCTGGTTGTACATAAAAGGGGAATGTTTTTATTACGTGAATAGGAAGTGCTTTAAAAATAAGTAATCGGTTTTAATTTATATGCTAATGGAGGTTAATAGTAAAAACATGACCTTCTTAGTTTTGAGGCCGCCACTAAAGGTATTTAGATTAAATGCTCGAAAAGTTCAAGGTCAAACTTTTATTATTGCCATTACCATTGGTATTACCATTATCATTACGTTTACCATTATCATTACTATTACCATTACCATTACCATTATCATTACCATTACTATTGTCATTGACATTGCTATTACCGTTATTATCACCATTACCGTTACAACTTACCATTACCATAACCATATTCATAACCATTTCCGTTATCAATACCATTACCATTACCACTTACCGTCATCATTACCATGCCTTTCGCAATTTTCTAGGACAAAAAATGTACCTTACCATTGCCATTACCTTTACCATTACCAATACCATTACCATTACGACTATCATTACCATTACCATTACCACACCCATTACCATGACCATTTCTAATACCATTAAACATACCAATACCATTACCATTACAATTACCCTTACCAGTACCATTACTGTTACCACTGCCATTACCATTACCATACCATTAACATCACCACTACCATTACCATTAGCATCACAATAATCATTACCATTATCATTACCTTTACCATTACCATTACCATTCCCATTATAAAAAGGTAAAAATACGTATGTCTTCATTTCAATGCGTCTGTTATTATTTCAAAAAAATTTTGGTAGTTTGACAATGCAAATAAAAGCGTTTTGTTAAATTGTTATTCACCCCTTAAATACGCAACCTCACTCAGCCTTTATTAAACGCATTGCAATTTTCAAAGGCTTTCACAAATTAAGTTGTAACAATTGCCTCATTTAGGGATTTAATGATGTGTGTATGTGTGCGTGTATTTTAGCGAAATTTTACCAAATTCATTCCATAACCAGCTCTACCGCGTTTTTTTTTTTGTATCAGCAGATTAGAGAACAATGCGCTACTCATACAAACATACACATGCAATAATTGCGAGTATACTAATACACAATCGTACACACATTCACGTATACTTAGATTTTAATAAATTGCTTATATTTAGTTAATGCCATTTTATTGCTTTTTTTTCGCATACACATGGAGGTTCATTTATGCAGACAAGTACATATACGTTAAATGTATACATACCAACATTTACTTAAGTATTTGTACATACATGAATAAACGTTTAACAGCAAGCAACAAAATGCTATGCAACAAAAATGCAATCCTTTCCACTCGCCTTATACATCCTGTCACCAAACTACAAAATCCTAATTTGTAAGTTTAGTTGTTTGAGTTAAATTTATAGTTCGATATATACAAAAGTGTAAATGTACTACACTATTTCTCTGCCATTTTAGTTTTTGCTTCATTTGTCCGGAAAGCATATTTTATCATTAATATTATTATTAATTTTTTTTTGAAATTGTTTGTGTATATGTTTGATTTTACGTGCATTTGTTAGTTCGCTTGTGTCGAGGAACTCGAGTGGAAACCAAATCAATATCCTGTATTTAAATACTATTTACCATATACACCTGAAATATTAGGTACCTATATGGAATAATGATTCATTTAATGTAAATTATATACATACGTACAAGCATATAAACTCTCTCTCTAGCAAAGTTGTCATATGTATATATAATTTAAATATAAAACGTTTCAATGAGTTAATAAATTATATGTATGTATGAATACATACTTTAATACATATGTAAAAATTTTGTATATTAATGTGAAATATTGCCAATTGTGTACATTTTGTATATTACATTCCTCGTTAGAAACAAATCGCTCTAATACGCTAGTATTTACTGAATTGAACTTTGCACACCACATCATCCACAATGTACATTTGTTCGTAATGAGTTAAATTGAACATACTCTCTAACATGTCAGTCATTTCAACTAACGTGCAAAGTATTTATTTATAAGCACACAAAGACCTAAGACACCGCACACATACTTAGGAATTCATTTCACAACACCTTTGCTTTGAGCAGACACATTCGAGCCTAATGCTGAATCCATCGTGTGTTCGATTTTCGTGAAATCAGCGAAAATGCTCTCGCTGCATTTGAATAGCTACGAATAAATATGTGTAGTGAAGGTATTTTCCAACGTTCGCATCTATTCTGATCCAGTGAAACTACGGTGGATTCAACTTTAAGTCAGTCCCCCTAACAACATAAATTTCATCAATACCAACAGAGAAAGTTACGTATACGCAGTGGTGCATTAACACATAATATACATGTACATACATCTCCGTGGCGTATACGTAATATTTGAATATTTCATAGAACACTTATTTAAAGGTTTGCGGGTAATTGACAGCACTGCACACATCTAATTTCAACAAGTTGCAGATGCAATAAAAATATACGTAATCAAAGGGCAAACTTTTTTTTTGTTTATTTGCAAAATCTAATGGGGCTCATTTTCATTTCTTACATATTTATTTAACATTCGCAAATTGTAATCATGTAAGATTGTTAATTTTTGATGTGAAAACGAATTTGCGTAGCCCGTCCCGCGTGATTCAAAGTGAATTCAGAAGTAATCAAAAGGAAAACGAATCTAATCAGGCGTTCCAGCAGCAATGCTCTTTGATATAGTTCGGGACTATTTCGGTACCATTTCGAGACTTGTTCGGCATCAATTCGAGATAAGTTAGAGACTTTTTCAGAACGTTTTTCGGGCTAGTTCGGACTTAGTTAGCAACTTTTTCGGGATCATTACGGGACTAGTACAGAACGTTTCCGTGACAATTTCAGGTTTAATTCGGTACTCTTCCGGGATCATTTCGGGTATAGTTCAGGACCAATTCGGGACTCATAAGCCTAACATATCAAATTTCATTATTACCTGCTACTCATGCCTTTTTCGACAGTGTTGCAAGTATTTTTTTTTTGCAAAATTATCTCCTTCGAAGGCTCGCGCTCTTAGTCCAATATAAGAAAAGACAGTTAAACCTTGTTATAAATATTTTTAGCTTTTTATATTTTAGCATAAGTTGTATTCAGCTTTCAAGAAGAAACAAAGACGTCCTTTAAAAAATTTTCTCAAAGCAGTGTACAGCAGTCGAATTTTTCTGACAACTCTCTAAAGTTGTTCTTTCGGAGAATCGTTCTGGGAAACTCAAATTTTGCCGATTAATCATGAATAATAAAAATTGCCAAGGAAAACAAGTAATTTTTAAGCAAAAAAAAACCGACTTCAATTCTCATATAAAAATTTAGGAGTATCTTTAATTTCTCCATGATCCAAATGATCGGATCGAAACCAAATTAGTACGGGAAGACCTCTGAAGTACCACGAAATCCAAAGTTATGCGGTAAGATACATAAAAAAAATATTCCCGCGAATTGATAACCTCCACATTTTGTTTCCTAATAGACGGAGACCTCATGACCAAAAAACTCATCATACTTCAGATCGATTGACATTTATTGTGAGCTTAGCTTGTTAATATATAAATCGTGAACCGGTGGGCTGGCTACGGAACAGCGGTCTTGACCATGCGTTTTTCGCTATTAAAGATGTCAATTAGAACCGATTACTCAACATACTTCAGACGACTTGAAATTTTGACAGAATTTTATTTACAATATATAGAAAAGGGTGCCTGCCAATTCTAATGGTCTCAAAGCCCATATTGAAAGTGCATTGTTGCAAGTATAAGTCAGCATACTTCAGATGAGTTGTCCTTTTGACAGCGCATTAATAACATTATAAATAGATGAAATATCTACAGCCAGAGAGAAAGTATACATCGTTCATATGCCATCGCGTATGAGTTATCTATCAACATCAATATTTAGTCAGGTTGAAAGCGAGTCACTGTAATACTTTTTAATTATTAATTAGCTAATATATTAACAAGCAAAGCTAACAAAAAATTTCAATCGATCTTATGTATGATGAGTTTTTTGGACATGAGCTCTTGGTCTATAAATTTATTATATCATTCACATTAGCGTATACATACACACACACATATGTTTAAAAAGTATTTTAACATAAATATAGCATTTCACAATACATTTTAATGGAGGATACATATCTATGGTCGTGTGTGATAACGACACCATTCAAAATTAAAAAAAAAGCCTTACTACTATTAAGCGGCTCATGGCTTTAATCCTCCTCGAATCCACGTCTAACCTTTAGTACTTACTTTAGCAATCCTTGCTGGCTACTTTGGTAAGGGTTGGAAATGGATTAGACAAGGATTAGAGACAAGATCCACTTAACGGTAGTAACAGTTTTTATTTCTTGAATTTTGAATTATGTCGTTATTGCAGAGGACCATCGATATAGTTTGTAAGTATTTTTCCTAATCGAAATGATGATCACAAATAAGCCTTCCTTATTTTTTAAGTTACTTTATATTTGTGGTTTTCTAAATAATTAAAAATATGAACTGGAGACTTCAACTAAGCCTCTGTTTTTATTTCCGTCACATGCCGGGCCGTTCCTTGGGAAAATATCAGTTCTTACTCTAGTCGTTAACTGGATCGAGCTGGACTCCTTCAGTTTCTTAGCTTGAATTGAGCTAGTGTGAAAAAATGGCATCTTAAGCTTAGAACATCTGTGAGTTGGCTAAATTTTATCTATGCGATGTCTTTATCAAATATTCTTTCAAATAATGTACGCGTGCCGTATGCTTCCAGCGGTTTCACAATGCTGCCATAGCAGCTCTCTGGCGGCGGTTGTGCTGCGATGGTCGCCGCCATGGCATTTGAGGGCTAAGCCTTATGCGCCGTCATTGCCGAAAAAATGATCTCAGAGCTTAGTGGCGACGAAGAGTGTAGCTTGCTCTATACACGAAACGAAATCCAGTACGAATAAGGGTTGTCATCTCTGCGTGAATTCATGCATAGCCTCTTATTTTGTTATACGTAGGAATGGAATAAATAGTCAATGACCTACCAAATGTGAGAGCTTTGACGGTGAGCTCTGGATATAAGCAATTTATTGTCCCAATAAGCTTAGCAAGTGAACATTTGAGAAGTGCTTATAAAAAAAAAATTATAATATGCTATATATATTTATTCAGTTTTAGTACGAAAACTTTTAATTATTTTAATGATATTCATAGGCCCATGTTGAAGTCAACTTAAGAGCACAAATGGGCTCTGCTGATATAATAACAAATGATGACCTTGGTTTTGTAACTATTTGTATAGATTAAATTGCCTTAGACCATGCACTTTTTGTACGTATTTTCACCTCGGATAGTGAAGGTTTTGACATTTAAATAAAATTCATAATTTAACCTCTAAAATTCAATTTCTATTTGCCGATCAAATTTAACCGTTATTTTATGTTTTTTTTATCGATTAAGTATAATCGTTATCTATTTTTGGATTTTTTCTATCCTTGTTTTTAATTTTTAAATTATACGAACAAAAATATTTATTAAATTTTGACCGCTATTTTTGATTTTTGTTTTTTTCTGTTCGATCAAAATAATCGCTATTTTGGATATTTAATATTCAATAAATTTTGATCGTTATTTTAGATCAATTTTTTTTCGATAAAAAATAATCGCTATTTTGGATGCTTATTTTTTCGGTAAATTTTTTGTTCGTTATTTTGTATTTTGATTTTTTCCATCAAAAATAATTGTGCCCACTAGTTTTTTTTTTTGTAGTTTATATTTTCGATCGTTGTTTTTGATTTTTATATTTTTGCGATCAAGAGCAATCGCTATTTATGATTTTTATTTTTTCGTTAAATTTTTATCGTTATTTCTGATTTTTGTTTTTCTCGATCAAAAATAATCCTCATTTCGTATGTTTTTTCTCGATAAATGTTTTAGTTATTTTATTTTTTTATTTTTTTCGATCAAAAATATTTATAATTTTTGATTGATTTTCGTTTTTCTCGATAAAAAATAATTCTCATTTTGGATGTTTTTTTCGATAAATGTTTTAACGTTAGTTTTTATAAAAAAATTTTTCGATCAAAAATAACCATAATTTTTGGATTTTTATTTTTTCGAAGAAATTTTGATGGGTTATTTTTGATATTTATTTTTTTTTTTAGTCAAAACCAATGGTTATTTTTGTATCCTTATTTTTTCGATAATTTTTTGTTCGTCACTTTTGATTTATATTTTTTTCGATTATATCATAAAATATTTAAATCGGTCATAAAAACGCAGTCTCCATTATAGCGGTTCAAACCAATGGGGGGAAAAATCCATAATTAACGTTTATTTTTGTGCGAAAAAAATAAAAATCTCAAAATTACGATTAAATATGACCGAATAAATAAAAAATTCTTTAGGAAAATAAATAAAATTCACAAGATAACGTTTTCATTGCGAAATCTAAGAATAAAAATCTTGATATTTAGCGGTGCTTTTCGACCACCGATTTTTTTAAATGCTCACATCTTTTACAATTATTACTCGATTAATTTAGGCAGGGTAGTTTTTTATTGTATTTTTAAAAGATCCCACTTTGACATCCAAGAAACAAACCGACAGTATAAAAATGCTTTCATGCTGAAATTTGTACGAAAATTACATTTTTGCTGAAAATTTTTGTGAAAATATGCAAAATCATACGGTTGGAAAATTTTGTTGACACAAATAGTTAATGGCAAGTGTAAAAAAATGCAATTAATTTCTAAAAAAACCGAACTTCGACTATATCTCGAATATCTCCAAAAATTTTTCTCTATTTTACTATATTTTGATTTCGTATTCGGATTCAGTGGAATATTTTACATTGCATAAAAGTTATACGCATAAATATATCGCAGGCCGGATTTTTTTTTCTGTAGACTTGTTAAATTTTAGCTGCTATAGTAAACTTATTAATATTGGTTTTATTTATTTCAACAGATCCTTTAATTTGTTAACACTACAAAGTAATACATAAAAAAATTCATATTATGCACCTATAACCTCATGTGTGTATAAACACCCGCCTCATCATATCCTGAATACAATTGCAGTTTCGTGATAAATTAGTTTTAAATAATTGATTCGCTAGATAAAATAAAGTTAGGACTTTCAGAGTAGGATAGTAGTTAAAAAAGGTACCTTTAGTAAAAAAGACCCATGTTTGGTGCCATTTTTCAATTACGCAGTGTATCTACTTTTTGGGAAGGAATTCGATAAACGTATCATTTTAAATGTTGTAGAATAATGTCGCAAAACTAATTGTATGCAATTCTATTTCCGCAGCACACACTTTGACAAAACGATTCATCAACCTCACGACGAATGCATCCATATACTTACATAGATATTAGTGTGCAAAATATCAAATGTTACATGTATTTTTCAAATACTATAAATTACTTAGCAAACGTTTTTTTTTTCTAAATATGTTCGCTTGCCTGCTTTTTTTAGCTTAAGTTTTTGATTAAATATTCAACTTGTAATTTTAAATGTTTGAGTTCATTGCATGCGCTCTATGCACGACAACGTCATCAATAACTTCCTCATTTAAACCAATTTTTTGTGAATGATGATTTTCGAAGACCTAATAAGGAACTTCTAAACCCTCAACTCCGTTGTGTTTAAATAATAAAAAAAAAAAATACGTTAAATTAGGCATGTATTTTACTTGTTGTTCGCTCGTATGGTTACGCTGGTTTTAGATGGTTTTTTTTTTTTATATTCCTAACTTGGCTTGTGAAGTTTGCCCGTTTTTTGATAAAGTTTATATTTGATTAGCATAATTAGTTCCTTACTTATTTTTAGTTTCTTCTACAATTTTTACAAAGTTAATTTTCTAATATTTTTTTCACTAATTTTACACAGTTAACTTAGAATGATTTTAACTTGAATACTCTCAATACATAACAAATCGAAACTTATCTTAGAACTACGCAAATTGTACTAATTGATTTTTTTCTTTATCATTTTTGCAAAATTTGCAAAATATTTTTTCCCCTCTTCAATTTTCGAAACCGCCTACCCGCAACACCGCTACCTACAACAAATATCTCGTTACTGCTGCTACAACATTAATTGCCAACAACAACAATCGCCTTAATTACTGCATATTGCAAAATAACAATAAAAAAACCAAAAAACCAAAAACTCAAATTGGAACTAACTGCTCTATGAATGAACAATTAAAAACAAAACATATTTGAAACAAAAATACAAATAATCAGGACTTTACATTGGATTTTTACTTTCGTCAATTTTGGACCGATCCTCGTTTAGCGTATAGAAAACGGCCTGGTGTAGAAACACTATCGGTTGGATCTGAGTTCATAAAAAACATTTGGGTACCTGACACCTTTTTTGTGAATGAAAAACAATCATATTTTCATATTGCAACAACAAGTAATGAATTCATACGTGTTCATCATTCTGGATCAATAACACGAAGTATTAGGTAACAAAAAAAATTAAATTTTCTTACTAGTTTTTTTTTTTTATCAGAAACCAAATAGTTATGAAACATTTATCTAAAAAAATGCAAATACCAAAAAAGAAAAAAAAAATATAAAAATTTTATTTTTTTTCGTTTTATATAAGTGTCGTGTGATTTTTATGAAACAAAAAACAAACTGCAGGCAAAAGAGAAATGAAACAAATGTTTTATTGCTGTGTCTTGTTCGGTGTGAATTTTTCGTTCTTCTTTTGTATATAATGCATACATACATATATGATTATGACTACAACTACTACTACTACTACTACTAAATGTCGTTCTATGTGTTTTTCTTTTGAAAATTCACTTATTTTATTTAATTGTAAATTATGGAGTGGGCACATAAGTAACTTTATTTGAAGTGAGTTCAATTGGCAAAAAACAAAAAAATAAATATAAATAAATAAAGACACAAACATGCGTATCACACTGTATAGCAGTACAGTTATCATTACAGCAAATCTGAGTCACAGTATACATAAATATGTACACATACGATTCCATTGAAATACTTTGTAAAATTTCAAAAAAAAAAAAGAAACCTAAAACAAGAAAATATTTTTTTTTTGTGCACTGTACCTTTTAGGTGGATTTAGTTACGTTTAAATACTTATATAAGTTCAGAAAAGAAAATAATAAAAATTGGTAATTTGAGTTTAATTTTCGACTGGTTTTTGTAGCAGCAAAATCATATATTACCAAACTTTTCAAATTACCATAGTAGCGACGTTATGAATACCGACTAATTTATTACCGCATCGTAGGAGGTATAAGCTATTACTAAGGTTAGATAAGCTTAGCTTTGGTTGAAGCATCTGCCTAAACAGGGGTCATATTTTAAACCAGGTCCTTTCTGCTATCACTACAAAGGGTACCGCCAAACTTTGGAAAAAAACACTGGGAAGCTTCGCCGGCGGCACATGTCTGTCCCGGAGACCTACTCCACATGCTTAGACCTCACCCTCAAAAAAGTTTGATAATTTTTGAGATAATTGCACTTCCATGCACTGAAAGCAGCTGCGACCGAGAAACCGATATTATATTTAGTTATGAAGCGTAGTCCCAATTTAGTAGCAGGTACTCGAGCGCTTTCTTTTCTCAATGCGGTCGCATTTACTGTGCTGTTTCCTGCAGTCTTGGAAAATAATCATTAGCAGGCGAAAGAGATTTTAAATATTTGCGCAACTAATCAACCGATACATACCTATTTCTGAAAACCACTTCGCCCCTATAAAGTTTTGACTTTAAGGTTGATAGGGATTATCCTGTGAAAACCCGTCCACCGACTCATTCGTGACAAAATTCATCGGTGTCTGTTCTAAATACTAAGCCTTATAAAGAATTCATATAAGTGGAGACAGAGCCAATTGGTGCCAGTATTGCCACGCAGTTGTCGATGTTATCAGGGAAGTCTAATTCCAATGAGGTCGGCTTTTTATACTTACCTACCCCCTCTAGCTTTCTGACTAGCGTAGTTTTGGCGAGTGTACGACTCAAGGTGATAAGGTTCCACAAAACATTTTGAGCTGCACTATAAGTAGTTAAACAGAGACAGCAAATTATCTTAGGAGAGAGGTCCGTTCTTTTAAAAATTGCACTCTTGCTGAATAAAGAGCCACTGATGCCCTTTTTCTGGAGATTTTCAATTATAGGCTACCACGATAAGGGGTAACCAAAAGTATACTCCTAAATTGAAACATTTTCTCTAACATTTTTGCGTCTCGATATAGAAAACTATATATGCAGTGATTACCGTATGCAAGTGGTTTAGGCCGACCCTCCGGCGATGTTCTTATATTAAGCTGCTAGCAGGTGATCGCTAGGAATCTGTTTATAGTTACTATTAAGCCGATCAAATACACTCTCCAGAGTTTTGAGAAAAAACACTGAGAGCTTGATTGGTCTAAAATCGTTATGAGAGGAGTCAAGAATTTTTTGCAGCCAGCCCGCCTTTTCCCCAAGCAATGGATATATACCATGTGGGTATAACTCAATGAGACAAAGAAATAATTAGTATTTTTAGGATAAATATGAGGATATATTTTTGTAGTTAGTGAGGCATTTGCCCTAAAAATATATTTCTTTTAAGTAGAGAGGAAACTTTTACAGTATTGGGTACCTACTGCAAAAATGCAGTCCATGCTCCATGGAGCCCTTGAAGTCCAAGACAATGTCACCATTTTCAAGCTTGCATATCTGGCTCATCTCACATATCTTACTGGAAAACATACTCCAGCCTGGGCCCGTGAACACAGGCGCGATAGTGATCTCCAGTAAAGAGTGTTCGCAATAGTCCTTCACCCAATCAGACAATACGTCTTTTTTGTCTGATGAAAGCATCGAATGTTATACTACATAAAATCCAAAAAAGTCAGCAAATTTATTTCTTCCTGAGATTTTGGAAATCAAGTTTATTTTATTGTCCAATTTTTGCAAAAACCCAAAAGGTACAGTGTAAAACAGATTCCCTAAGAAATTGTAAATTTCATCTAAAAAAAAAAAATCAAAAATTCATCAAATTATGTATACACAAATATTTTATACCAAACGAAACTTTAAACTAAACCAGAAGACATCGTAGCATCCTCAGTGTACAGTGTATTTTACACCATAAAAAGGTGCGCACTCTGTGGGGAAATATTTTCTACTACCTTTAAACAAGAATCTGTCCAAAAGCAATAAAAAAAAATATATATATACACACGTGTACTACGTATGTAGAGAAAAAAAAAATGCATACAATTCTGTTGAAGAGAACTGCAAATTTGGATTGAAAATGAAGCCAACGCAACAAAGGACATGCAAAACGCATTGCGAAGGACATTAAGTGAACCCCAAATGAGCGTGAGTTAGTGTAATTACGCAGAGAAATGATGGCGTGTAAGTAAGTCGTTCGTTCATAAATGTTTGACACAAACTCTCTATGCTGCATAATTAACATGTTGCATATATACTACATACATACATACATATGTATATACTTGCGTGTATACGAACATGTTGATAAGAAAGAGGAACAAGAAAAAAAGCAGCATACATTAATGCAATAAAAATGTGTAAAGTATGCCTAGTTATGCTTTTTCTTATGGTTTTATTGCAAATGTATAAACAAAGTAACACTTGCAGCTGCAAATTTATACTATTTACATATATATATCGTAAATATATATTACGAACATTATTTACTATTTAAACATACATACATACATATGCACGCTATAGTAAATTGAAATATTTATATTAACAAATTGTTGTATTATACCTATATACACACTGTAAGAAATAAAATGTAAATAAATTGCATTTGTAAAGACGCATTGTAGCAAAAAGAAATAATACCTAATTTACATATACATATAGCTTGCTGAAAAATTCACAAACTTTTGCAAAAAAGCTGCCAAAAACTGTTGAAAGTGATTTATTAGTTGCGATTTAGCGCCCATTAGTGTAATAGCATATTATTATTATTATTATTATTTTTTTTTTCGCTATAACAAGAATATTAACTACTTAGAAATACATCAAGACATGGACATACATAATGTTGTAGGCCATAAAAACAAACTTTTTAAAGTAAATAAATCAAATGCTAATTAATCCAATTGAACTCGCTGCCACACCATTTCACCTTTATGTTTGTATGTGAAGAAATTTGTATATAATCGTACTATGTATTTATTATGTATATGAAATGATGCAATATTAGAGCTATTTTTTTTTTTGTATATTTAGCTGAGACAAAAGGTTATTCAAGTAGAAACATTAAGAAAGCAACAAAATTCAAGATTTTTTGGAAGAAAAAAAATTGCCTAATATTTATATAGCATTTTTATTGCGAAACAGAGCTCCTAAAATTAATAAGTTTTGTAATAAAAAGCAAAAAAAGTTTCGGTACATTTTAAAAATCTATGGTTTCAAACAAGCACACCGTTTAATTTTGCATTTTAGTTTTTTTGGTCAAAAATGTAGACACAATTTGCTCGCGTTTGTCAGCACAAAACAATCAATAATATTTGTTTTATATTTCTCAAGTACTATTTAGTAAAAAATAAACCTAAGAAACAACTGTGCGGTTTTTACTTAAAATTTTCATAAAGTCTCGAGTGAAAGTCGAAAAATTATAAAGAGTACCAAAAAGTGTCGACAGCATCACGAAAAAAATCGAATTCAGAGAAATTATATGTCACCCCTCAACTTCAAACTGGCGACTCCAACCATATGCCTGATAATACAAATGACATCGTGGCTGACAGAGACCAATTATTATATATTTTATTTTAAGTTTGCGATACAGACATGCAATGCGTAAAAGAAAATTCCTCGGTAATGATTTCTTAAAAGATATTACTTGAATATCCTTCTAGTAAAAATTATGCTTGTACGTGAAAAAGCTTACTATTGCTGCTTAAAAAAAAAATGTATGATTTTAGTTTTCATAGAAACGTTTATCAAATACTAAAAATTATATCAAAATAGTTTTTTTGTGCATTTTTTATTAACCTTTCCATGCTGGCTGTATTCTTGCAGATTGACTATTACCGCTTCGTGTCCAATGAATCTTCAATATTTTCCTATGGATCGGCAGTTGTGCCACATAGAAATCGAAAGCTGTAAGTAATATTTCTTTTGCTATTCAAAATACATACAAACATAAATATGTGTATAACTGCATACTTTAAACGTAAATAAGATTTTCGTAATTTAAGACCTAAATAGAAATTAGTGCTTAGTTTAGTTTATAGTCATAAAAATTTATTTGTATATTTAGTGTGTACATAGGCTTAGATTTTGCGATAGGATAGGATAAGTATCGTCATGAAATGAAAGTGATTTGAAATAGTTTTAAGAAAAATTGATTACACTGAATAAAAAATATAATGAATTTATATGAGGCGTCAAAATAATTGCTAAGTAGTCGGCACTTTTGTAAAAAATATGTCAATTTATTTGGTTATGTTTGCTACTAATGCTAAAAAGATTGCAACACCCGTATTAAGTGCTTAAGTGCTAGGAACTGCAGGTATAATATTTAAACAGCAACAAAAAAAAAATACATCTAAATGAGCTTTACTTTCTAAGTTACAAATTAAAAAAAAAGAAGAAAATTTCTATGAAAGCTTTCTACAGATAGCTAGAATTTTGGTTGTAGCGTGAAAGCTTAATATTTAGCGCTTTATTTTGAACATATTGCTAGGGTAATATATATATGTTTGAAAAGCTTAAACTACAATTTCATATTGTATTAAAAAAATTTAAGAAAATAAGGAGAAAGTTAGTTATGATCGAAGAGAGCTTTTTTTCTATAACTGTCTATACGAAAACTATAGACAGTATGAAAAAGCTTCTGCTTTGGTCATGGCTGAATTTATTTTCAACGAGATTTAGCTGAAAAGTTGTTCACTGAAAGCAAACTGCTTTGTTCGAATTGGGCTATTGGAAAAGGGACGTCGAAATTTAAATTTTTTATAATGATTATTCTGAAAAAAAATAGCAAGACTATAAACAATAAGCCCTTATACTTAGTATTCGATTTCAGTTTGAGGTACTTTTTATATTCGTCTCAGAAAGCTTCGCTTTTTTGGTAAAAGCTCTTTAAAAGCTTTAGTATATTATTTCGGTTTGCTTTAAAAAATATAACTCCATAGCTCTTGACCGTTAAAACGGGAAAATTTTAGACTCAAGTTTGAAAGTTTTTCTCTAAAACTAGCAATAAAGAGAAAATTAGCTTATAGCCTAGGAAGCTCTAATTATTCGAATAAATAATAAGCTCTAAAAAAGTTTCAGCAACTTCAAAAGTAAAGCATTTTTATTAGGGAAAAGCTTCGCTACGATTCGCTTTCTTTGATTGAAAAGCTTTAAGCTTAGAAGCAATAAATCGAATAGGATATAATTAACTAAAAATGTACCTCAATTCTTATTAGTTTGCTTGGGGTGAAAAAGTAGTGAGCTTAACCCGCTTAGACAAATTTTTTTTTCATAAATCATATGCTCCGCTGTTTTTTAACTAAATTTATATAGAAGTTTCCTGGATGAAAGCAGTATCTAGCCAACACTGCTATAGGAAGATAACTTGACTAAAAGCTTGCACTCAACTTGAGCTTAGTTTTACTTAATTACTAACAGCCAATTTTAGCCAAGCCAGTTTAGTGAAAAATGATTTAAATTTTTTGAATTTTACGTGGAAATCGACAGAAAACAAAAAATCATTTTCAAATTAAATTGCTGGTGAAATCGGCTGTAAGAGTTACAAAAAAGTGGCAGTGAAATCAAAAGTCTACGTTATTTTCTAAAATAAACTTTTTTTTAGGTTGAAAAATTCAACCATCGGATTCTCGCAATTCGATTTTGCGAATAATTAACTAAAAAGGCAATTGCCACATTTCGACTACAAAAATAGCACATATAACCACGTAACCTTTTGTTCAGGTTTTAATTTTTACTTATTTTCCAATAATTTTTTACTTGCTTTTCTGATGAATTAAAACAAGGAATTATTTATTTATCCTAAGTTTGAAAATAATTTTATATTTGATTAAATTTAACTTTATTTTCAATTAAATTACCCAGTCTTAAATCATCAACGTTTAATTGAATTAGTACAAAATATTCCTCACTTGAAACAGTTTTACAACAAATACATTCAAATCAAAATGCTCCTTACGAAACTTCACCATCTTCACTTCAGTAATTACAAAGCTCTATTACCGAATATTGAATTACATTAATTTAGTTGAAGTGCATTTTAGTACCTTGGAAATATTCATTATTACATAAAAATTCACAAAATGACCACCGAATTTCAAAATTTCAGAGTTATTTAGTAAATTAAATGAATTGAAGAAAGAAACGAATTGAAATACTGGTTGGTTTTCGGTCGCCTTCTTTCTTTTGTTAGAAGCAGTAAATTATAAGTGAGTGAGTACTTATTTGATATATTGAAACCAACTGAATGTCTGACAGGAATTCAGGAAATTAATTTTCGATATGCACGACACAAATAAATTCTAATTTATTTAAACGCAAATTTCACAAAAGTTATTCTATATAGTAGACCTATGTATGTAGCTTTTATATCAGCAGTGTTTCTAGTATCCACAAGGGCAACAATATATTTTATGTAGGTATAGCACTTCCAACCCGATCATTTCATCTTCATTAAAACTAGCTTACTATTAATATTTGTTGGCCGTTCATTTGGTAGTTGTGCACACAAAAAGTCGGTTAACATAGTGGGAAGCCTCAAGAATTTCGGTTTGTTTTACGACCAAATCCGAACTGAAATGCATTGACAATAATTCCAAGGCGGAAGAATGCCTACGTAAGAAATCTAAACTGCTTAAATATTTCTTCCAAGTAGATGGAAGAAAAATGCGCATAGGAAACCCCATATAGTTCAGTCTATATGTATCTACCTTGCAGGTAAAAGTACCGGTACTTAAAATATCATATACCGGTCAGAAAGAGAACTTACCGTTCATAGTGGCGGTTCGTTTGCATAAAAGCGACAGGCAATTTTAACATGAGGCTTTCATTGGCGATCAACGATTGCCACCTTATAGGGCAACTCTTCGCAGAAAAAGCTGCTGTGATATGGTAGCCTAAAATAATGACTTAATGGGAGGTTTGTCAAAAGTATCTTCTTTTATAATTTTTGCTTTTATTTCGAGGCAGCTGTAGAGTTTTCTTGTAGGCCCAATCCAGAATCGACAAGAAAGAAGTTAACATGGAAGCTTTCTAGGGTTTTAGTAGGCGGCATGCATACCGCCCTTTAAACTTTATTAGGCTTTAGAATTAATGAGCGACTTATGTAGTTTAGTCTTTCGACTAGCCGCCCACAATACTTAGGGCGTTCAGCAACAGTTTGCCCAGCACTTGTGGAGGATTACTGGTGATAGTTGTAGCCAGATTATCGGCATAATAAATAGCGCTGTAAGTACCGTTAGATTTCAAAGGAGTGTGGTGTGTAAATATTTGTGGAGACCCCGTTGCCTCATGTCGCATATGCATATATCTCCAAATGTCTCGTAGACTGATTTGGTAGAGGGCGGACGAAGTGCAGCGGAAGTTCTCAAAAGTCTAAAATAACTTAATTAAAACTCGCACGCAGGAAGCTTAGTTTTATATTGACCAGCGAGATCCACCACTTCGTCATGGGCTTTCAAGTTTAGCTTTTAAGCTCAAACTTTTTTTTAGTATAAAGTTAAAACAGCTTCAAAATCGTACTACAAAACTGTGATATACATACGTCCACAATTGGAGTATAGCTTTGGGAAAACTTTCTATAATATATCTACATTAGGGTGGTCCTTAAAAATCAAATGAACGTTTTTTTTCAATCTCACCACATGAAAATTTCGGTCCCGGTTGGAGGCGATTAGGCGTGTCGCACAGGGATTCCTCAGAAGACTCAAAAAATTAAAATTAATGTTTTTCTCATCTAATACCCTAAATCGATACAACCATAGTCGATGATATCACATATAAACTTTGGTCCCGTTTGGAGTCGTTAAAGGCATTTCGCAACGGGGTCAGAGCCCCGATGCCTCTTTGGGCTCAAAAAAATTTTAATTTTTTTTTTCATTATATGCCCAAAATCGTTACTGCTAAAGTTTTAAATATCACATTTAGATTCTGGTCCCGATTGGAGTCGGATAACACGTCTTCATAGGGTAAGGTGAAATTTGACCCCTGTCCGAAACGTCTTAGCCGACTTCAATCGGGACCAAAATTCATATGTGATATCTTCGACTATAGTAGCATCAACGTAGGGGTTGAGGCTTGGGAAATCTGATATAAAAATTTGCTTTCTACATTTAGGGACCACCCTAGTCTACATATATAGGTGTGTAAACAGGTTACTTAGAATTAAGCTTTTAACGGGCTGTATTTTTTCTTCGAAACTGAAATAAAAATACCACAGGGTGATACAGATGAAACCTTAACGGTTTCGAAGCATGTGAGTGCCCCTCATTAACCCCACTTATTAAAAATTTTTGTTTCAATTTCAATTATTTTAATACTTAATTTATTTTTTATTTTCAGGGTTGAATTCGAAATTCTAAAAATGTATATTTCGAACTTTACTACTTGATGCATACAAATTTTCGTTTATGACTTTTTAATTTTGTCATTATTATGACTTATTTTTCTCACTTCCGATT